ATCGTCTTAGGGGCCTACCCTACTTCAGTTTGTCCTCATCTTAACTAATTGCACCTGCAATGACCCCGTCTCCAAACACGGTCACATTCTCAGGTACTAGGGGGTTAGGACTGCAACATATGAATTTGGGGGAAAACAGTTCAACCCGTAACACCTAGATATGTTCTAGAAAGAGTATTGATCATGGAACAAAGGAAAATTAGAACCAATTTTTTTTTCTGTTTGTTTTTTTATTGTGAAATTTTTGTTATAATTATTGTTTATCAGTCACCATGTAAGTGCATCCCTCCACCCCTTGTGCCCATCCCCCACCCCCCTAGCCCGGCAAAGGAAAATTAGAACCAATTTTTTTCTGTTTTTTTTTTATTGTGAAATTTTTGTTGTAATTATTGTTTGTCAGTCACCATGTAAGTGCATCCCTCCACCCCTTGTGCCCATCCCCCACCCCTCTAGCCCCTGGTAACCACCAAACAGTTCTATCTGTCCATGTGTTGGTTTATCTTCCACATATGAGTGAAATCATGCACTGTTTGTCTTTCTCTTTCTGGTTTATTTCACCTAACATAATACCCTCCAGGTCCATCCATGTTGTTGCAAATGGGAAGATTTTGTCTTTTTTTTATGGCTGAGTAGTATTCCATGGTATATATATACCACATCTTCTTTATCCAATCATCAGTCGAGGGACACTTGGCTTGCTTCCATGTCTTGGCTATAGTGAATAATGCTGCGATGAACATAGGGGTGCATAAGCCTCTTTGGATTGTTGATTTCAGGTTTGTTGGCTAGATACCCAGTAGTGGGATAGCTGGATCATAAGGTATTTCTATTTTTAATATTTTGAGGAATCTCCATACTGTTTTCCATAGAGGCTGCATCAGTTTGCATTCCCAGCAGCAGTGGATTAGGGTTCCCCCTTTCTCCACAGCCTCTCCAGCATTTGTTGCTTTTTGTCTTGGTGATTATAGCCATTCTAACGGGTGTAAGATGATATCTTAGTGTGGTTTTGATTTGCATTTCCCTGATGATTAGTGATGTCGAGCATCTTTTCATGTGCCTATTGGCCACCTGTATATCTTCTTTGGAGAAGTGTCTGTTCATTTCCTCTGCCCATTTTTTGATCAGGTTGTTTGTTTTTTTGTTATTCAGTTGTGTGAGTTCTTTATATATTTTGGAGATTAATCCCTTGTCAGATATATGGTTTGCAAATATTTTTTCCCAGCTGGTGGGTTCCTTATTCATTTTGATTCTGGTTTCATTTGCCTTGTAGAAGCTCTTTAATCTGATGAAGCCCCACTTGTTTATTTTTTCTTTTGTTTCCCTTGTCTGAGTAGACGTGGAATTCAAAAAGATCCCTTTATGGCTGATGACGAATAGTGTACTACCTATATTTTCCTCCAGGAGTTTTATAGTTTCAGGTCTCACCTTCATGTCTTTGATCCATTTTGAGTTAATTTTTGTGTATGGTGAAAGAAGATGGTCTACTTTCATTCTTTTGCAAGTGGCTGTCCAGTTTTCCCAGCACCATTTATTGAAGAGACTTTCCTTTCTCCACTGTATGTCCTTAGCTCCTTTGTCAAAGATTAGCTGCCCATAAATATGAGGTTTTATTTCTGGACTTTCAATTCTGTTCCATTGATCTGTGTGTCTGTTTTGCGCCAGTACCACACTGTTTTAATTACTATCGCTTTGTAGCATGTTTTGAAGTCAGGAATTGTGATTCCTCCAGCCTTGTTCTTCTTTTTCAGGATTGCTTTAGCTATACGGGGTCTTTTGTTGCCCCATATGAATGCTGGTATTCTTTGTTCTATTTCTGTGAAGAACGTCCTTGGGATTCTGATTGGGATTGCATGGAATCTAGTAGATTGCTTTAGGTAGTATGGACATTTTAACAATGTTTGTTTTTCCAATCCAAGTGCATGGCATCTTTTTCCATTTCTTTATGTCATCATTGATTTCACTCAATAATGTCTTATAGTTTTCATTGTATAGGTCTTTCACTTCCTTGGTTAAATTTACTCCTAGATATTTTATTCTTTTTGTTGCAATTGTAAATGGGATTGTCTTCTTGAGTTCTCTTTCTGTTAGTTTGCTGTTGGTATACAGAAATGCAACTGATTTCTGTAAGTTGGTTTTGCACCCTGCCACTTGGTTGTAGTTGTTGATTATTTCTCATAGTTTTCCAATGGATTCTTTAGGATTTTCTATATATAAGATCATGTCATCTGCAAACAGCAAGAGTTTCACTTCTTCGTTGCCTATTTGGATTCCTTTTATTCCTTTTTCTTGCCTAATTCCTTTGGCCAGAACTTCCAGTACTGTGTTGAATAAGAGTGGTGAGAGTGGGCACCCTTGTCTTGTCTCTGTTTTCAGAGGGATGGCTTTCAGTTTTTCCCCATTGAGTATGATGTTTACTGTGGGTTTGTCATATATGGTCTTTATTATGTTAAGGTACTTTCCTTCTATACCCAT